GGAACTAAAAGGTTCCATTATCCTGATACCACACAGGAAGATATATGTCATGCCTCTCTGTAAGTGTTTCATCACCAAAGAATGGAATATATTTCAGTTTTTTGTGTTTCGGCTACTAGAACTGTTGAAAGAAATACTGAATAAGTCTGTATTAATATAAAACTTAGGGCAAAAAAATCCTATCTGGAAGGTGAAATAGTTGGTACTGAGTTCTCCATGCCTGCTCTGTACCTGTATTTATTTAACACTAGTTTTACTCTGCTCCTGTGGGACTGCATGCCCTTTAGAACTTAGAAAACAGACTGCTCTAGAAACACATCTCTCAGCTTAGTTTTATCTATAAGAAAAACAGCTCACACACTCAAAATCTGCTCCAATTTGCAATCCAAAATGTGGTAAGTGAGGGCAATTGGGAGATTCATTTTAGCACCACAGTTTTTATCTGAACTTAACCATGAATGTAGATGATGAATGTAGATGTGCTGATCAGCTTGATGATTCATTTCAGTGTTTCCAAATGTCACTGTGTATAACTGTTATACTGAGACTGTAGTTTGGATTTGCTACATTCTAGCAAAAAAAAAAAAAAAAATTCACCAAGAGATTGTAGCAAAAAGTGCATCTGTGATTACACATGACACAGAATCCAAAATGTTTTAAAAGAAGGCATAAAGAAGAGAAATACCACTCTCGTATTCCTCCCTACCCTCAGAAGCATAGTTTGCTTTCCACAAATAAGGAAGCCAGTGCCTTCTCCATTTTCTAACTGTGCTGTTTCTTCCAATTGAGGAATGTTTTGTTGAAAATGTGGGAGAAACTCGTGGCTATTTTGAATACTTCCAGTCTTTTATCTACACAAAGAAGAATTAATTATTTATTTATTATGGGGTATAGTTTGAACAGTTGTCAGTGGCAGAGTTGGGATAAGACAAGGCTATCCAAAGTAGCCAGGAAAGGATGGACAAATTCTAGGTAGGTTTTGTTTTCACAAGAAAGAATTTAATTGAGAAAGGTATGGAGATAATTTACCTAAGGTTCCCTCCATGCTGAGGAGTTTTTAACTGTGAATAATTTACCATTTTAACAGAGACTGAATAATCTCCTGTGGTTCAAGGAGAAAATAATCGAGATATATTGTCTTATCTTCTTACACACTACAACTGAAAGCAAGCCAAAACAGTCCTGAATATTAAGGAGTTTCTTTTTCTCTCTGAAACTCTTCCCTCAATTTATGATCCATTGTCACCCACTGTTTAAAGACTCAAAGCATTACAGAGTGTTTGAGGTGGGAAGAGATTTCTGAGACTGTCTTGTCCAACCCCCTGCCTATACAGGACCCCGTATAGCCAGTTGCCCAGGACTTCTGCTTTTGGCATGCAAACACATAGGCTAACCACAGAAAGGGGGGGAATAGTAAAGCAGAATTTTTATTTTCTTTTCCTGTCATTGAAACACCAGCATAACACATTCAGAGGCAAAAGCTTTTTTTCTATTTGTTGAAGAAAACTGTCCAGTGTTTCACATAGATCTCAATAGGAGATTGTACACTACTGTTTTGGAAAAAAACTGTTAGTTATTTCATTCTTATTTGTCTTTTTTCATCTTGTAATCTCAATTTGGAAATGTTTCACAGTGCTTAAACTGGTCTATAAAAGAGTGATCTCCTTTCTGCCAAACCAACCACCCTCAGACTGATCACTGTCTTAGGTTGGCCTAAAGATGTTAGACAACAGGAAGTGTTTCATGTCTTGCTGAATAAAATATTCTGGGTTCAAACATATTGCTCTAAAAATCAATAGAAAAATTCATCTGTGAATGTGAAAGAGAGAGGCCAACAAAATGTGCTATATAAAAGAGATTACCATGTAATGGATGGTTAAAAACTACAAGGAATAGAATTGTATGTCCTGAATCAAGGAAGATAATTGCGTTGGGTTTTCTTGATTATTTTTAAAAACAAGATTCAGCTGACAACCAATATAGAACTAATAAAAGTACATTTTTAATTTAAAAGCATAATTGTCATTCTATATAATAAAATAAGCCAATGTTATAACTCTAAGAAAAATGCAAAACAAACAAACAAAAAAAACCCCTTAAACTCATTTAAAAATCAATAGGACTTTTACCAAGTAAATCCAAAGACATCCTAATGCTACTAAGATGCCATATGACATAATTTTTATGGCTATTAGGCTTTCTCATTTAAAAAAAAACATTTCATGTTTTATTAAATGTCAATCCTTTTCTTTCTTTTTAAATTTACTACCTAGTAGAAATGTAAGGTTCTGGCAATTTGCTAATTAGGGATATAAAAATACACACTAAGTTTATAAAAATTTAGCTATAGAATTCCAGGGTAATGGAAGACCTGCCCATTTAAGAGCATGAGCTACTAATTTACTAGAAAGAGTATTTACTAAAACTCACATAAACAGATTTTTCAACAAAAAGAGACATAAAGCCAAAAAAAATATGGTGATGAATATTTCAGCAGTTGTATGAAGTTCAAAATTTCAGACTCTCTACAGAAGTGATACCTATTGAGGCAGAAAGCAATTTTGAACAGTCTCTAAATTGCAAACCCTGGGCACTTGCTTATAAACACTTTTGTATAAGCTTTTAGCATTCAGTGATGTAGATCCTGAGATAGCTCCTTAAGGTCTCATTGCTAATGAGAACACTCAGTGGCCATTGTGCTCATGCCTCATTTATTTTGTGGATGTCTCCCTCCATAATGATGGTTAGTGATTACATTTTGGCATAAACACACTTGGTATGTACCACTTTCTGTTTCTCAATACTATTGTACTGGTGTCCTTAAAATTATGAGTGACAATAAAAGATCTAGGAATTTTAAAACTGAAAACATCCTATTTCAGTAAAGGAAAAATGTGAAGCTCACTGTTATATGATGTGACACAGCACATTTCCCAGAACAGCAATATCAGCTGTTTTGTGCCTACTTGTTCTATTACCTTTTTTTTAAGTAACTATAACTTGAAACTTAGCCATATGGATGTCTGCATCATCCTGCAGAAGAAACATCTGATGGTCTATAAACATTTGTATGACTGTTTTCAATGCTACCCTTTTTCTGTCACTCTGCTGTTCCCTGATGACGATAGACTGCACATCTGTATAGAAGTTTATCCTATGGATAAATCAGGTGTCTTTCAATTACTCTACAAATAAAGTTCTGTAACTCATTGTGGATGAGAATAAGGAAGGTCAGAGAAAGTGCTGAGAGGGTTAGAAAGCAGAGTAGGACAGTTTATTGAGATTAACAGCTCCAAACTTGATGTTGCTAATGGCAAGATGGATTACACAAAACACGTGAATGCTTTCACAAAGTCTTATATCTTCTATATTCCTTATTATAGGGAGCTTACTCACAGCCCTGTAACAAAACCCTGTGCCCTTCTCACCCTGCAGGATTTTTAAGTGCTCAGTCGGGCTGCCTGGGCTGATGACTGGCTGGTTGAGTGGGTGAATCCTGCTAGCCAAGATCACCTCAGACTTACTCTAATATGCTGACTGCCTGCAATCATAAGCACTGATGGCAGATACAATCTTCTTTTCAGAGAATGGGGCAGACCATCCACCGGCTGAAAAAAAAACTCCTAAGGCTTTTTATTAAAACATGGCTATACTGGGATAGATAGATAGATAGATAGATAGATAGATAGATAGATAGATAGATAGATAGATAGATAGATAAATAAATATCCAGGCTTCCTCATCATTCACATTCCAGAATAGCTGCTGGGCTACTCAGTGCTGTCCCAAAGGCAGCAAGGGTACCCATTCCATTAAAAGGTGTCCTGAAGACAATAGGCCTCCTACCTACGCTAACACTGCCCCCATGTCGCCGGCAGACCCCGGGGTGCGGGACAGACCGGCCCGGCCCCAGCGGCAGCCCAGCTCCGCCAGCGCGCACCGCCACTCCGCGCCCGACCGCGGAGCCGCCGGCGCGCAGCCATCGGTGCCGTCCGACCTGCGCTCACCCCCGCCCGCGCTTTTCTGCACCCGCGCAAAGCAGGATGCCGGGCTGCATTTCATTTTTAATTGATTTACAGCCTCCTTCCCAACACCCACCTCCTCCCCTTGCCCCAGCTGCGCTTCCAGACACACTTTTCCTGCTGCAAACGGCGCGAGCATCAGGTGCGGGCAAGGAGGAGCGGCGCCGACCCCGCCTCCGAGATGCTGCTGCGGCGTGGGGAGCCCGAGGCAGGGGCTGCGGGTGTCCCGGGTCGCCTGGCTCTGCCCCCATCCCCGCGGAGGTCGGCAGCTTTCCCACGCCGGCTATTCCCCAGCCTGGACGCCGCGACAGCGGTGCAGAGGAGCCGGGGGATCCCATCCTGTTCCCCCTGCACTTCTGTGACACAAATCTTCCCTTCTCTCGTCCCTCCCCGCCGCCCCAGCCGTGCGCTTCGCTCCCTGTCCTTTCTTGCCGCTCTCCCCTCGCCCGGGCCGGGAGTACCGGGGCCGCGGCGCTGCGGGAGTCAGAGGTGCCAGCTGCCGCGGCTCTGCAGGGCCGGCTCCCGAGGCCAAGAGGGGACACAGCCCTTTCTCTTCATCCATTCTTCCTCTCCTCTTGTTTTCCATTGAGACCATTTGAGGCTCCCTCAAGATTCTTATTAATAATAGATTTTCTCTACTGTATTCTTCCCCCTTTCCCTTCCCGCTCTGACCATTAGCCCTCCTCAATCTCGTCAAAGGGACGGGTGTTTGGGGTGGGCTGTAGCTGGGGAGGAAGATAAGTCCTATACGCGGGGAGAGGGCGGGCGAGAAAGGAAGAGATTTTGCTGTCGTCTCTGGGCTGATTGGAAGAGGTAATCATTGTATCTTTGGCCGGAGGATTAGCAGATAAACTTTTATTGCTCCCTTTTGTGCGTGTGTGTGCGTGTCTTTGTGCCTGCGTGGGTGTGGGTGTGTGGAGTAAGAAGTCGCCACTCAAGGGGGAAAATCTTTTCCATTTCCCTTTGGCAGGTGCAGGTCAAGAAGGAACTCATGAGCATTTTGTCTGATCCATGATCTGGTTAGGAGAGGGGAAGCGATCCCTCTCCTCTTGCCCTTCCTTTCCCAGTTTTGAAATTATTCCATTCCTACCACCGCCGCCCTCCCGTCCTTCCCCCTCTTCCCCTTCCCCTTCCCCTCCACTGAATGAATGGAAGAGTCTCCACGGTTTTCTTCTGCTTCTCGCCCTGGACTGGAGAAGTGAAGGGGGCATCTATCCTCATCCATCTCTTTCTCGCTCCATCCATTCTCAAGGGGATTTCAGACCGTGCAATGTGTTTTCAGCCTCTTGCCGCCGCTACCACTTGATACTATGTTATGCGCAGGGAGAGGGTTTTGCAAAAATGGATTTATTCTATTTTAAAGGATTTCTTCTCTAATAAGGTTCTCATTGCACACAAATATGACTAAATCCCCTATTTGGTAAATCTTTCTCTACCCCACCCCTCCTCTTTGGGTTCCCTCCCGCCCGCCCCCACCCCTTCAGAGGAGCAAGCACAGGGAGCTGATGACGGACCCATTAATCCCTTCTTCAATGCATCAAAAGAAGCCGAAGGGCTGGAAGTCGCTGGGCTCTGAGTCCTGCAGGAAATGCTTCGATCTGCTTTTGGTTCTGTATGAAACTGGTGACTAGGGGCTCGGCTCGCTCCGCCGCCGCCCGCCGGCACCTGGATGCGCGGGCCGCCGCCGCCGCCGCCGCCTTGCCCGCCGCCGCCGCGATGCACCGCTCGTGGCGGTGCTGGTGATCGCTCGGGTGTGATGGGATTGAGCCGGCGGTGATCATTTGAAGGCGGTGAGGGAGAGCGAGGGAGAGGAAAGGCTGCTCAGCTCTGCTGTGTGTGTGGGGGCTTCGGGCTTTTTTTTCTTTTTTCTTTTTTTTTTTTTTTTCTTTTTCTTTTCCTACTTCCATCCTCTCCCCGCCACTGGAAGTCCTCCCGTATCTAAATGGAATTAGTGGAGACCGAAGCCCCTTGTGTAAGGAACAGACATGACCCATGGGCGCAGCTTCTTTCACAGTGAGTATCAATCTCCCCTTTCCCACCCCCTACCCCCGACCGAGCTCCGCCGCCGCGCACGGGCTCCTGCCCTCCGCTGCCTCCGCACCGGGCGTAACGGGACGCCCAGGCTGCCTCAGCGAGGGGGCGAACTCCCCCCACGCACACACCGCATCCTCTCCCCAGCGCGCTGCGGTGCACCGGAGGGGAGCCGGTGTCTGCCAGCGCCGTGGGGCGGGCGGCGGGGCACGCTGCCGGGGGCTGGAGGCTTGCACCTGGGCGCCACGGGTCTGGTGGCTTTTGCCGCGCCGGGAGAGAGCGGAGGGAGCTGCCCCCGCCGTCCGCGGCGCCGTGGGACCCCGGCTGCGGCTCGAATCGGCCGGCGAGGGTGAGGGGGCCGGGAGCCGCGGCGGGGGCGGCCGCACCGGGCGCGCATCCCGGAGAGCTGCGGGGCGGGGGCGGCGCTTTCGGCTGAAATCCACCAGGATTAGCAAGGAGGCACCGAAATGTATCACCTACTCTTCCAAGACCTTAGGGGCCTCAAGTGCGAGGTGGGACTCCCTCTCCCGCCTCTGTTTTGCAGAGGGTCCGCTGTTCTGAAGGGGCTTGACTGGCCCTAGTTCCTCCCAGCACTTCTCTGCGCGCCCACACCTGTACAATAGCGCTATGACCAGGTATTGCTTGTCCAACAACTCTTCGCCAGGCTAAGCCACGTCTGTGCCAAATCACAGCCTCCTAAAAGCCTGGCCAAGAGATAAATCACTTAATGTACAGCTTGTAATGAAAAAAATGCACAGATCCAAAAAAGATGGAAAGATGCGTAATCAGAGTGGCACTAGAAAGCACAATTATAATTACACCCGTGATTAGGAGGGAAAGGGGGAGGAGGAAGACAGTGAGAATGCAACAAGAAATTTTATGGAAACTTCTTTAAAATAATACCCAAACCGAGATAATGTCAATATTGTTGCTATGCTGCCAACACTTCCCAAGTGACAGTTTTCAATGAGTGAAGATTCCATGGTTGGTGTCTTTGGGGTCTTGTTCCCTGCCCCCCTGCCCCCCTCCCCCCCCCCCTCCCCCCTTCTGAATAGCACTGTTATTTTTCTGTGGCTTGAGAAAGAAAAAGGCGTGAGAAATTCAAACCTGAAATTGGGTATCATGGGTGAGTTTGTGCAGAGGGATCATAGAATAAAATGGTCTGCCTTGTCTACTTAAATAATATGTGTTTGTGTTGGCTTTTCCCAAGAAGACCACAATTTTAATTACTTTCTGGCAACTTGCATATTTTTGTGCTGCTGTTAATAACACTAAAACAAGAGCCTTTTTCTTTTTCTTTCTTTTTTTTTTTTTTTTAATAGCATGGAAGAAGTGCTTCACTTTATCTATCCAATATTATACATCTAGAATAAAACCAAAACCCTTAAAGACTTAATTTCTTAGTGTCCACTTGTCTATTAGACTTTATTATCAAGATTATTTTGACACCTCATTAGTAGCAAATACTGATATGACATTTAAGTAAAGCTCTGTGCTTTAGGAAAACAGCTCTGTAGTTTGGAGACCTCTTTTCTAGCAATTACAGCTGGAACTGAAAAGACCTGTGGGGCTTTTGTCATCTTGGTAATAACAGATCTGTGACTTGGACCAACTCTCTTTACTTCTCTGAACTTCACTTTTTTCTGTATAGAAAGTGAGAGGAGACCTAATAGATAAAGATGCTTGAAATGAATGTGTAAGAATCAGGTATGCATTGGTAATAATTGCCTAAAAGAAACACTTCTCACATGGAGTTTGTTCAGTTATCCTATTCTAGCTTCTACAAATTTATGGGCAGAAGGAATGCTAGCAGCTGATTCCTTATTTGAACACTTTACGCTATTGAGAAATTAGGTGTAGGCTGGTGAAGATTACAAGCATAGATGCATTATGATCTCTGCATGAAACACAGCTAAAGTAAATGAGCAACTCAGTAAAGGGGTGACTCCTGCTTTGCCTTTGGATTTTGACAGAGTTGACAGGCAGAGTCCCAGCTAGCATGTATTTCCAGAATTCATCCCTGGGGAGAGTAAGGGCATGAATGGCTAGGTAAAATTCAGATCTGAGCAGAAGGAGTAGTGTTCTCACTGAATGCCCATGACACACAAGAATTTTAACTATCAGTGCTGCCAGTCTCTAGAGGCTGTGAGCCTGACCAAGAAATAGTGAATTTGCAGCCAAGCCTTCATCTTCCCAGAACTTCAATCTTACTCTGCTTAATAGGGCAGCCATCATCCATGCCTCAAGCCCTCTGTCACATGGGAAAGGTCAAAGACATGGAAATAGGGATCTCAAGGCCATCAGAATACTGGAAATATGGAGACTGGCTTCCTTTGGGGTAAAAATTATGCATAAATTGCGATAAAAAGGTGAAAATGTTGAAAGAACCATCTTGGAAAGGATCACAGTTACTCACCGTGGGCTCATGGTGGCTTTTGGTGTCTCTTAGGGAAAATAAGAAGTATGCCATTCAATTACTTTTGTTAATTGATCAGTTCCTCATCATAGTCATCAACAAAATGATAGCTGACTGATCCAAAATGCTCTGAATAAGCAGGCAACTTCATTTCCACCTTAAGGTCAGTGCAGCCTGGGCACTGTGGTTGGGCCTAATGCCAAACTAGCCGGGGCAAAGCCCTAAGCACTCCAAGAACTGATGGATCTTTTCTCTTCTGCACTTGCAATTCCACTTTCCCTGATAGCCAAAGACAATATGAATGATGACAAGAAAATTAGTTTGTGATTTCTTCATCAGGTAGCTTGCTAGTCACTTTGATCTTCCAATAGTCTCATTATGACTGTACTAAAGGTTTGCCTATTAGCCTTTTCTAGTCAGACTGTTATATTTGGAAATTCCCAGAAACCCAGTCATTTTTTCCAGGTCAAAGTCCATTTCAGAAAGGCTGCATTTGTTTCCAAGAGGCGTAGTTGTCCTATCACAGTTGGAGACAGCAGATACCTGTTTGCAAAGTGGGCTGCAGATTCACTGCAGCAAAAACTTAACACCCTCTCGACAAGTCAAACTAGATTAATGAGATTGTTAAGCACACACAATAATTTACTTCACTAGAGATTTGCAAATGCTTTGATGGATGTGAAGAATCCAACCTTTCACTTCTTTCCTACTCCCAGTACTCATTTTCAAATTTTATTATGCCACAGTGAGAGACATTAGTACATACGGTGGCACTAAAATTTAGTCTCCCTCTGTTAAAAGCAGCCACTTTTTTATTACAAACATGAACTATTATTATATAAATAGGTATTGGTAAAAATGTGTGTCTCTAATACTGAAGAAAAAGAAAAAAAAAAAATTGAGAACATCAGTGCCTGTGGATCTTGTTTTAAACCCAGAAGATTTCCTCTTTATTTGCATACATTTGCAAAGATAAGTACTTACATGAACAGGCCATGAAGAAACTTGCTTATACAATACGTGCAACTAAAAGATGCAAGTAAAAATGAAACTTTTTCTTTACAGCAATGCTATTTCATTTGTATTCTTGTGAGATATATGAATACAAGTAATTTGATTGCAGAAACTATTACTCTGATATTTAATGCATATTTCTCTTTCAGTTGTAGCAAGTCTAATCATCCTACATTTCTCTGTGGCAACCAAAAAAGGAACAGGTATGTAAACTTCAAACATTTTTGTCAGAAAATTTATTAGAGACCAAAATATGGATCTGAGTTTTTAGCTTAATTTTTCAAATTTTTAGTAGTTCATTTGTCTGGAGCATACATATGCCTGTATACACACAAAAAATCCAGGGATGCTCATCAGACTCAGTTTGACTCTAAACTAAAGACCATAAAATACTCCCACTTTCAAATTGGGAAGTCCAGTTTGGGCACTCAGCTACCTACACTTAAAACCTTTTTTCTTGTTGAACTATAATTAAAAACCTGAAATTTGGTATCATGGGTACATTTGTGCAGGGGGAGAAGAGAAAGAGAGTCTTGAAAGCCTTGGATGCTTAGTGTGAGGAGAGCCTAGCAAGGAATGCTGCTAAGCACAGTGTGTGTCTGAACCTGTGCCTGAATGCACAGTCCCTGCAGGCTGGAATTCATTGTAGGAAATAGGGCTCCATGTCATAGTCTGCCTGGATACTGACCAGGGTGAAAAAGAAATGCTTGCAGAGTATAAGACAGATCTCAGATGGTTAATATCATCCTTGGAAACTGCTTGTTTTCATCCATTGACACTAAGAGGGAGCCTCAAACACCTCACGCACCAGGGGCTTAACTTATATGGGACAGCTCTTTGATTATTAAATACCTCATTCAGAGAAATACCAGTCTAGAACCTACTATCCTTCCTTTTAATAGCAGCCTAGATATATTCCCTTCTGAAGAATCCATCTCATTTTAGCCTACTTGTCAAAGCAAGATGCTTAGAAAGGGATTCCTGATATTGTTCAGCTTGAGTTGGCCCAAACCTTTGACTCCAGTCTCTCTGCCAGAGAGCAGAAAGAAATGCAAGAGACTCAGGGCTAGGAAGAAAGACTCTGCTCTCTGAGGATTCACTTAGGAGAAGGAAAGTTCTGGGTGGTGATTCCTGGCCTCAGAGCTATTTATTAATTTTACAGCAAACTGAGAGAAAAATAATCTATGAACCAGATTCCAGGAATTCCCCTGTCTACCTCTGTCCAGTGAATATAGACTAAATATGACAAAGATTTAAAACAACTTCTCTATATGATCATAATTCTCTGTGTTAGTTCCTTGGTTTTGTGACTGATATATTCCTGTATTATGGCATGAAGCTTGCTGATAGAGCACATGCTTGAGCTTCTTGAGATGTATGAGTGGGAAATTCATGCCTTCCAATTCTCAAGCATGTGCTTTCCTTAGAAGGAATGTGCTTTCCTTTAAAAGCAATGCAAATTTATTTTTCCCCTTTCCTCTGCTTTAAAAAAAAAATTTTGAGTAAGAATTACATGTTTGTACCCCTAAAAAACAGCCTTCTTTTCCCCTAGATCAATTATCATATTCAGTCTCAACAGATAAAAGCTTGAGGCTCCTGACAGAAAAGGGACTGTTGTATTTATCCTGTTAGAGAGTTGTAAGTGTCACATGGACATAATAATTTTTGTGCTAATTATATAATGCTTTAATATCATCATTTCACAGAAAAGCAAACTGTGTCCGAAGGACAGAGACCAGTGCAGTGTGGAACTTGGACAAAATATGCAGAAGGAGGCATCTTCACTTCTCCAAATTACCCCAACAAGTATCCTCCGGACAGAGAGTGTGTCTACATTATAGAAGGTGACCAAAAGAAGAATCTTTATATTTTACCATCAACTGTATTAAAAAGAATAGGTTTTATTATATGTGAAGTGTAGGTAGTCACGGTAATTAATCTTTTCAAGACAAAATATTTAGATAACCTCTGGATTTCTTTTTTGATATAACTCATAAATTAGTTAAGGTGGTGTGTGAGACCCAGCAATAAACAGTACAATTTATTTCAGGATATTTAGAAAATGAATAGAGCCTAAAATGTAATGTGACAGAAGAAAGAGTATTTTAAAATTAGTAGTAAAAGTGAACATAGGAAACAACAATGCTTTTGACTTTCATGAAGACATTTTAAACTTACTGTAACTGAACCAGGGATGACAAGCTTAGCTGGCAAAGTACAGTAAAAGAAGTCATACAGAAAATATCCATATAGTGAGTGCTAAAATTATTTTCCATCCTCTTGTTCATAAGAAATGAAAATGAAATAAATGCAACCTACAAAAATAGAAGATAATAAATATTAGCAAAAAGCATCTCTAAAACTTACTTTTTAAAGTGTATGTAATTGCAGGCATGGAAGTGATGTAGGAAAGGCTAAAGGTGTATTACAAACAATGTGGTTTCTTTTCATTAGTCTTAGTACAATATATGTTGGAGAGATTGTTGTAATAATGGATCTGTGGAAATTAATAGAGTTTAGATCCCCTCAGAGCTCTGAAAAGATGAATCAGGTACTGTATAGTAAATCCCTGGAATCAAAAAACTTCTTTCATGAGTTGTGAATACATGTAAAATAAAACAGTGATGGTCTTCTATCCATGCTTCATTTAGAGAATTATTAATTATTTAATGCTGGAACAAGGAATTACAGAAATAAGTATTTTATGAAAGATGCAGGTAGTACGAAGATATATTTCCAAAGATATATAGCTGATTTAAATTGAATGAACTGTTCTAGACCCACAAACACTATGCACTTTTAGAAAGTCAAAAGTCATGGCAAAATGACTGAATTCCACTTTGGTCCTAGATAACTTGAATGAAGTCAGAAGAGGTGATTATAAATAATGTAGCCAAACAAACGCTTAAAATAAAATTTATGCTAGTCTGTATATGTCTCAAATTTAAGCAGAAATATGGTAAATATTTAAGTTACAGCATAGTTTAATAGTTGGTTTAAATTAATAATTTTTCTGAAGAAGATAAATGTATAGGTTCAAAATGTACAACGTGGCATGATTTTTTTCCAGTTACACTTATGTTGCTAGACCCAGGTTTTTTTGCATATATTGATCAAATTATCTAACACTATGTGAGACTGGGAAGAAGCAAGCTTGTTTTGTCTTCAAAAATCTGAAACACAGGATGTTTTATCATTAAAGTGAAATAGTACAGAAAATACCTCACCATTTTTTGTAAAATTTAGTCCCACATCTCAGGTCATGAGATGTTCTTCCTCACAGTAAGAAAGTAAAGCCCAATATGGTAAAGACTTTTGTCTTTATTAGAGTAATTAAGTACAAAAATATATATTATATATATATATATATATATATATATATATATATATATATATATATATAAAATATAAAATGTAATAACTATACAAAAATATAGTTAATATGCTGAAAGACTGCAAAATACTCTGTTGAAATAAAGTGATTTAAAATATCTAAAAATGGAAATGCCAAAGGACAATTTACAAAGGAAAGATTTAATCAACCCACTTCTATGACGAAGATGAAATTCCACATGGACAAGTTTAGAGCAATGTATAAAAAAAAGAGTAAATTCAACAGATATCTTGTTATAATTTATTGGAAATTTCAATCTTATAAAATCCAGTTGAACACAAGTTTTTCTTGGCATGGATATTTTCTTCTTCCCACCCAGCCTAATAAAAGTTTGGATTGCAGCTGGTCATTTTAAAACCCACAATGAACCATAGGCATTGCACAACATTTTCAGCTCTGATCTCCCCATGTCTATTTCTGTCTTCTACAAAAATCAGGAATAGTCGAGTCTGTCTGGAAAATGTCACAAAAATAAACAGAGATTTAGGAAGATGTCTGAGCAATAATATTTTAAAATGTGGCAGATTTTTAAAAAAATGCAAAAGAACATGTCAACAAAATCTTTGTGTAATTAGAATAAATTATTTGTCCATATTTATTCTTTTTGCAACATATAAAATGACAAAAATGATAAAGAAGTCTACCAAGTAGCAACTTATCCCCTTTTTATATTCCGTGAAACTCATTGTCATGAGGCACTGATAGTAAAGGATTAAAAAAAAAATACTGACAGCAATGCCTTTGCTATTCAATAGCAATCTATAGAAATTGTGTATAATCATGACTAATGGAAGAAATAAATATTTTAGAGTAAGACAGAAATATCTCTTTATGCATTTTATTTCTATATTTAGTATTGAAATTTCCATATGCTTGGACAGCTTCTGAATCTTGTTAAATGCCAAGCACCAAACTAGAGGGACTGTTGATGTGGTCTATAATATAATCCTCCCATCACTATCTCCCCATTGTATGTCTCAGGGAATTCAGACTACCAGGACTGTAGATAACAAACTGAAAGCTGTATGATGTGAGTATAAATGTATATATGAATCACTAGGTTCTTTTCTGGCTGCTTGCATTCATTCCTTCATTTATTTGCTGTCAAACATAGTCTTAGGGCAAATTCAAACAAAATTCCTAGTGATTTCAGTAGTCTTCACTGAGGACTCCAGCTTGTAGTGTGTTGTAAGCAGTTGAATTTCATCTCAAATTTTTTCCTTCCCAATGTAGCTCAACTTTTGTATATGCAATCTTTTTATCATGTCAAAATTATTTTGGTGAAGTAAAGGAACTGGCAAAGGTTGCCATGATCATAGACTCTGAATTTCTGAAAGAAAAGGAGATTCCTGACTGCAGAGCCTTCTATCTTAGCAGTCAAAGACATAAAGGCATAAACAAATCAAACAGTTTGAAGTTTTTTATATTATTCTGCATTTGCTCTCTCTCTCTTTTTTTAAAAATTCTGATTTATTAATAACAATAATGAACTCTTGGGACAACTAGGAATCTTAAAGTGCAGGTTGAATGCCTTTCTAAAAGAAATCCTCTAAGTCATCTAGAAATCACGGCCTCTGTACAAAAATTGTTATGCTACAGAAGAGTGTCACATGTGAGGCTTGGAAGAGGGGGATACAACTCCCCAAGGAACTTCTGATGAATCCCATCTGCCTTTCAAAATGCAATAAGAATTTTTTCTTTTTGTTTGCTTTTCCTTTTTTTTCTTTTTTTTTTTTTTCATTTCAATCTTAGTTGGCATATAGAAAACATAGATAATGAGCTGAGAAAAATTGGCCAAATTTCACCCTTATTTTGCATATTCATAATTCTAACCTGACAAAATTCACAGCTGCCCAGAACAATCACAGCAGTGACAGCAATAGCCTTTGCCAGACTGCAGAACATTTGGCATGTGTGCTGCAAAAGGAAATTTGCACAGGAGATTTTGTAGAAGTAAAGGCTTTTATTTGCATTAAAATATTTGGGGAGTGGGATAGTCATACTATACACACGATACCTTGAGAATCAATTTAACAATCTTGTAAGTGAAATACCTGTAAAATTTTAACCACTCTTCTGCTTTTAATAATTAAGTGCTTATTTATAAATATAGTTATGGAGTAGAATTGCTTTATGGAGATATAAATTATATCTTCCACTTTACAAGTTTATGAACGTATTGAGTTACCACTTTTGAAGGTCTCATGTTCTCACAAAAGACCATTAAACTCTTTCTTATTTCACAGGCATTAGAAAATTGTCATGTTATCACCAAATGAAAAGCCTCTGCTCAAAGCTCTTTTCTATTTCACAGTGATTTTTGTGTTCAAAAAATTTTCACCAAAACAATGAAAGAACACTATTTTCAAATGAAGATAAATGTGGTTTCCTTATCAATAATAGCAGGATAACCAGAAGGAATGAGGATTATTGAAAATATTAGTAGGTTAACAGCTCATAGAGATGGCAGTAGGTGTTGAGTTGTTTCTCATTTCCATGCAGTGTGGCAAATGGAAACAGATTTTTTTCACTTAACTTCAGCTGTCACTACACATACTTAGAGGCTGATCAGAATTAAAACCTTAATTCTGTAGTTTTGCTGCAACTGTTCTACTGCAAACTGGAACCCAATGACTTTTTTTTCTCATTGGATGTAAAATCTTGAAACAGCACTTGTGTAAGATAATTAGTTGAAAAATATGACAAGACATGCAAACATTAAGTAGGCCTTTCAATAGTTCTAAACATGTTTTGAAGAAAGACAATTGGAAATTAAATATGAAAGTTATGACATTTGAAATTAAGCAATTTTATGAGACAGTATATTATTCGATATATTTTATTTGGAGTGGGCAGCAACTTTTCCTGATATCGTAGCTACAGAAGCTCTGAAGATGTGAATGGACTTTACCTGTGAATTAGGATACCAGAAATAACCACTCCATCCCTCCTTTTCTGATTAGATGGCCAGATGCCGATCCAGTCTGGAAGATTTGCATATTCTGGATTTTTTGCTTTATATTTCTGTAGGTACACACACACACTATTATTAATGGCTATTCTGGACTTGCAGTTTATTTTCTGTAAATTTTACTGTGACCTCATTTACACACCCTTTGTTGCAAAAGCTGTGGCACAAGATGTGTATTTAAACAATAGCTGCTTGTTCTACCTTACGTTTAGTAAAGAAACCCCTTATTAAAGCCAGAGCATACATGTGAAATTATACCATTTTTGCTAAAAGTAACTTAAAGTTGGGAATTTGGATTATCTGTTTTCATCCCTTATGGTCATATCTAGGGAGTTTTGATTAACTTTATGTCATATGTAGATTACTGCAAACAAACATTTAGCTATTAAATATGAAGCACAAGAAGAAAAACATTCAAAAGCATCTGATGAAAAGGTCATGGATGTGTGAGTTGCACCGTGGAGTTACACACAGTTACAGAAAAATGAAATGTTCCTAGTGGCATGGCCAAAACGATGCCAGAACATGACTTTACATTTAAGGAGTATGAACAGGCAGTGGTCCAGCCCTCAAACTCAATCCCCAGCCTTTTTTTTATATCCCCAGTGGAAAAGTGCTGATAATGAATATTCAGTGATTCATTCTTAAAGTGAAATAGCCTCTACTCACGGGACCTTCAGGGAAAAGTGGAAACTTCAGCTCTCCTTGAGCTGATGTTATTCTCTCTTATCCTCTAGCAAGATCTGAACTTCACTAGGAAAAGCCTCAACTTAAGTTTGTTGAAAAATAAATAAAAACAGAATAGTGTAAACTATAGAAATATTCTGGTCATAAAACTGGTTGGCGGTATGAGATTGAGAAAGCTACAATGGAGATTATTGTAGAAATTTTGTTTTTTCTCAGGTCATTCATCACCCAGCCAATAGCTCTCATATGTAACTCTGTAGACTTGGTTTTTATTTGTCCATTATCTTTCCTTTTACTTTAGAGCCTCCCATAGCAAGGCTATAGCTGGCTCTAGGGCTCCTTTTCAACACCAAAAATCATGTCAAATGACTGAACTCTGAGAGAGACTCGTGGCCATTTTTAACCTTACATGAGTCTTGGATACAAAGAAGACCTATTAAGGATTTAACTATGGGCCAGCACTTGTAACCCTCTTCTTGGTATGAAATAAGGCAGCAGAAAATAAAGTTTTTCAAGAATAAATATGTTGTGATAGTGGCATAAGCCATTGTTGAAATAACCACTTTGTGGCTGCAAGAAGCACAGCTGCTGTATGTCACTAACAGTACTAGGAGAATCGATCTTCATATCTACTTTGTGACATTAAAACATAATAATAAAGCTCTAGACAGGTTAATAGCATAACACTGGAGTCATGAATGTGTAAAGATTTTCAAGCTATGACGAGCATTCTTAAGATTACCTAAAATGTTGTCAGGATAGATTTTCTGATACCTGACTGTGGTCCTGAGGTGGATGATGAACAGCTCTCAACAAATTTCCTTAAATGGTATAAGAGCATGCAGAATATAATCCCAAGTTGAAAGCTGCTGGTTGCTCTCTTCTGTCCTAGCATTGCTTAGTTGAGTTTAAATCAATAATTTTTATAAAAGTGTAAAGTCAAGGATAAAAACATCTGAAGAAAATTAATTGATGATGTCTTCCAGGTATTCAATCTTTTAATATAATCTAAAAAGGTTTACTTTAGTCTTCAAACCTCACCAAGGATAACATCTCTATGATCTCCTTTATAAGCTTTATTATCTGACCTTAATTTTGTAAATTTTTGTATACTTTCAAAGTAGTTTCTTTTCCATAGACTTGAATTTGATGCAATTATATGTAAAACATTGACCTTTGCTTTTTCTATTGAATTTATATGAGCAAAAAGATCACAAATTTCCTGTAAATAATGACAAGTCACTAATATTTCCCTGAGTGTGAATGTCTTCAAATTAAGAACAGGAGAAAAAGTTTCTTTCTTATGTTAAATTAAATGTTTCATCAAATATCAATCATCCAATTATATTAACATTGTAAGTAAAGCTGTTAAAATAATCTTTCTGTTCAAATAAGGTTTTTTATTAACTTCTTAAATGCGTCTTATAAAATGAGGCTGTATTTATTTACATGAAATAGTTGTAAGAGGGATCTGACTTTGTGCTCTTTAAGTAAAGATTTCAAAATTTGCCTGATATCTTCTTACTCAGTTAATTTTAAATTGTCTTATGTGAGTAATGAGTTCATACCAGAAGCTTCATTTTAAAACATTTCAGAATCCAAACAAGATCCTTGTTCTTGTAATACTGACAGTTTTCTTATAACTCTTGAGAAAATAAATGCAGAGATACTGACTCCTGGAGTGGCAGCAGTTTCCATGCTAGTAACTTGGCATGGAGCTTGATCTTCCATATTTTCATGTGAAAAGAATGGTAACTCTGGCAAAGCTCATGGTAATATAAACCTCTTTTGATATGTGTAAAGTTTAGGACATGATCTCATGAGAGGACAGAAGGCAATGACACAACAAATCCTTGTTTTAGCAGAAGGCTTTGTCAGCAAAAGGCTCCAGTGCACCATGCTCTAGACACAGAAGGCACAGTTTTTGCTATGGCCAGGATTAAGCATAGAAAACGGTGCACGTCTAGGAGGTTGCCTCTGATAAAATATATTGGTGAAACCATGTTTTTTTTTCCCTCATTTTAAGAAAATACTGTATTTCTACTAGTTACTTTTTTTGCTATACAGGAGACGCCAGGAAGTATTTGTTTTAGAGATCGTTCCGACAGTCTCTAGACTTAGTACTTATCATTAAAGATGGATTTTCTTTAAAATGTCTAATTAAGTGGCCACTATGAAGTTCCTTCAAGATTTTCAGTACATAATTTACACTTCTGTTATAATCCTTATCTAGTTCTTTCTTTAGTGAGAATTCACTGCATTTATTCTTATGTTTCTAATGAGATGTTATTCTGAGTGTATGCAATTACACTCCAGTTTGTCATTGACTGAAGTACATATAGGAACATAATCTATCCTTACTGTAGCACAGTTCTGATCAGACTTTTCTTCATCATCTTTGTCAGTACTAGATATAAAACAAGTATTCTGATTAACACCCCTCCCTTAAATACAATAAACAAGTATTTTTCTAAATATGTAAATTTCTTAGAAACATTTTATATTTGAAGAAATTTTTCCTGGCTATATTTTTCTGTTCATCATAGATATCTCTCTCTTAGCTTTACTAAGAACTGCTGCCAAGAATACTTTTTTTAAAGGAGAACAACAAATAACCTGACAGTGTGAAATCTATAAAAAATACAGATGCACTAATTTTCAAGCAGGTTTTCAAACAAAATTTTAGGATCCATACAAAATCAAAATGTTTGATTTTCTTCAGTTTTACTTTAGTTTTGAAGGGTCTTGGGTTAGAAAATAATAAGATCATTTTCTTTTTTGTCTCTAGCTGCTCCTAGACAATGCATTGAACTACACTTTGATGAAAAATATTCCATAGAGCCTTCTTGGGAGTGTAAATTTGACCACATAGAAGTACGAGATGGACCTTTTGGCTTTTCCCCAATCCTTGGACGTTTCTGTGGACAGCAAAATCCACCTATGATAAAATCCAGTGGCAGGTTCCTGTGGATTAAATTTTTTGCTGATGCTGAACTGGAATCCATTGGGTTTTCTGCTCGGTATAATTTTACACCTGGTAAGTACAAACCATCACATTTTTAATAGAAAAAACTTATCATTGTAACTTTTCTAATGATGTATAATCTTGCTGTTGAATAATATCTTTAGCTGGGGCTTAGTTTATTGTCAAGGAAGGTATTAATAGATAGGAAATTTATAAAAGTCATATGTATTTTTGCATAACAAGTAAGGCTTATTCAATTGAAAGATTTTCAGATTCTGCAGTTTTAAAAAGTATTATTTTCAAGTGAATGCTATTACAGAAGATCATTCAAAATGTTTAATGGGAAGTTTAATGTTTTATGCTTGCTGTTACACTGTACAGCTTTTCTTTCAAAAAGGTCATTGATAAAGTATTCTAATAAAATATATAATTATCTCAGAAAATTCCATCATTGCTTTTCCACCTCACCAATCATTTCCCCAGCTGCGGAGTGGCATAGTTCTCCTTTCTCAATAAAGCAAACTATTACAAGTATTACTAAAGGATGTGTGAGGTTGAAATAGTAACATATATTAAATATTTTTCTTAAAAGGTTGTAAATCTTAATTGCAATTCTACAAGTATTTCTTGTCACTGTTTAATTCATTAAAGTAAAACAAAATTCATAGTCATACTTTCCATTAATTCCCCTGCTCCCCCACTTATTAACAAAAGACTGCTGATTTGAAATTTGTTCTTTGGCTGCAGCTCTACTATACTGCACTGCAATTGCACTGCTGGATGTGACGTAGTTTTGTGACTTCTTATGTATTGAGTGATGAGTCATGCTTTAATATAGCTCACTCTAAAGCACTGTAATTATTATGTAACTTTGCCAATTATGTCACTAATTTTTTCAGCTAAATTGTTGTATTAGGTTGAACAGTATTCTCTAGAACACTGCCTAAAATTAGAAGACCAAAACTTTTCCTTAAATATTCCAGTAGCCTCATAAAAGATAGCAGGTCTACATGCTCTGTGTTGTTCTTCTTTCTGGTTTTCCTTCATTAATTCAAGGAAAATATTTATAAAACTAAGCAGCATAGTAAAATTTTCTTTCAAGTCCATGATACTATTTTTCAGTGGCTAAACATATATAGAACATTCAAACAGGAACAGAATAGAGAATTTCTGTAGCAATTTATCTGATATCCAGATGTATGTATCTGTTGTAAAATCAAAGACAATAGACAAAATTTTGTTATAACCATGCATATCCACTCTGAAAAGTGAGTTAAATTTTTATCTCTTATTTACCATTGGTCTGTGGGCTTTTGCCATTTCCTTGCCCTGTGCCGTAAGTTCTTTGCTTTAGATTTTGTTACTTTTTTTTTTTTTTCCATATTATGGTTGAAAAGATGTTAATAGCAAAATCTGTAACTTAGTCTGTGTAAAGACTCTCAAGTAAAAGACAATTTCATGGATCATGTTTTATCCTCATTCCCTTTCTACTGATGTAAGGAGTATTCTACACAAAGATCAAGGCTGATAAATTGGTACAGCAACATAAATTATTCTAGACTTCAGATGAAATAGCTATATCTTTTTCCTTCCTTGATTCTTTCTTTTTTTCCCCTCCATACATTTCAATAGAAGCTCTGCAAGTAGTAGAGAGTTAATAGGAATATTGGCCAAAATAAGAATAAGATTAATCTGACAAGTGCAAAACAGAACTGTTGCTTTCTTGATCACCAATAAGAGGAAGAACTTCACATTCCACATTATTACTTGGATAGTCTTTTATTATGCAGACATGGATAAGGCATGGCATTTTGAGCTCTATTGGCCAAATGTGTGCACTGGGAGTGGTTCCTGCCAACTCTTAAAACAGAAGGCTGGCTTTCGAGATTGTATAAGAGAGTAACACAGAGAGGATTCCACTCCAGAGTATAACAGAGTAACATAGAGAGGACTCCAATACAGAAATTATCACCTAAATCACCTAGAACCAGCTTGGGTAGTGACAACTTTAAAAATTAAATTATGAACAAGGAAGAGATCAGAGGAAAATTTTCAGCTAACCTCTCTTTAAAGAACGTGAAGAAAAAGACCCAAAGCAAAGATTCATTTGGAAGCTGTTGCTGTCTCAAGCAGCTGAATGCTCAGGGGATATGTGATTTTTGTTGCCACTCATCCCACTTGTTGAAAGCAGGACACTCTTCCCAACTGCAACCTGCAGAGGAGGCTTTGTTCATCCGGAGACAAGTGCAACACAGTTATTTCTTGAGTATCAGCAATCTTTGAGGGTCCCCACCTACCCCCACGTGTCTCTCCTCTGCCTCTTTTGCATTTGAGATCTTAATGAAGAATAAAGAGATGCATTGTTAAATGTGTGAGTGTGTGCCAAGATTTAAAAAATAAAAAGTAAATTTGACTAAATTCAAGCTGCAACCATTTACTGTTATTTGAATGGTACCTGGAGAAACAGGGAAAATTATTTACTATGTCTACAGGGTGTATAAAAACAGATAACTGGATGAAGTTGAAAAAAAGTTCAGTTAGAATATAATGAAAAATGTTGAAATGAACCTCTATTAATCTGCAATTGGAAAGAGTCCTGCACCTAAGGAATTTTAAATCTAGTTTGGACTAAGTCCTATAAAAAGAAATTATATAGAAAAATCCTAAAGGATAGACTAATAATTTGCAATTATGACTACTTTTCTGTTCAATAATTTCTTTGACTCCTTGGTATTGAAATGGTTGGAAATTCATCCACCAAGGAAAAAGTCCAGTAGGGACTGTGGTTTCAGAAACAAATGTAACATTCTTTTCCTTTAAATAAACCTTTTTTTAGAGGTCTTTTCAGTACTCTAAAAGGTGAGATCTTGCAGAAGAAAAAAATTTAGCAGCAATATCAGAGCTACATACATAACCAACACAAACACACAGAGAAACTAGTAAAATTACTTAAAGTTTTGCAAAAAAAAGTACCTTATTAAGAGAATAATTTTGGCTTTCATTTTTGTAATTTCTAAATTATAGTCTTAAGAGACACGTGGATGAATGACGTTGTACATTTGGTATAATAGACTGCTTTCAGTGTCAAACTCCGAGCTAAGGCAAAAGATATTAATATTTTGCATAATCACAGCTAATATCAGTAATAATCAGATGCATTTTGATGTAAATTTTCAATCATTTTACATACATGAGAGTTTATAAACAAATGAAAACTTATTTATTTTTATATATTATTTTAATTTTATTTTTTTATTTTAAAGTTCTGATTAACTGTGTTCATTTCAAAATGGAACTATCTGAAACTATTGAACCTTCATAAATTTTTACAAACTTTTTTGTTGGGTTGTTTCTTTTTAAGGAAATCTGATGTATGAGAGAAACACATATCAGGCTAAAATATTTTTAGGTCCTGCTGGTTTATTTTGAATACAATTTTGATTGACTAGGGAAAAACCCATGACACAAGGATAATTCATCCTTGCTTGTGTTTTGTCAGTCTTTGGTCCACTGAAAGGCCTACACCTGAAATTTCATTTCACAGCTCTAGGTTCTTTGACTCGATTTATTACAGTCATTTTTTCTAAAAAGCTTCATCTCAAGACTGTTTTCCAAACTGGTGTTGAATCACTGTTTTGTGTAGAAAAATTCAAGTACTACTTCAAATTATTGAAAAGTCTTCTTTAAAAATAATCTTTTTTTTTTTTTTTTTTTTTTTTTTAGTACAGACAAGAATTCAGGCAGAGAGAGGCTGTGCTTATCTGGTCTTTCTTGCTCAGCTAGAATAATCAGATTTCTGTTTATCCTGGTCCCTGATTTTGCAGGACAGTGGCTTAAGATAGCACATCATTACTTTCAGTTCCTTCACTTAGTAGAAGCCATCTGTGTTTTTATTTAGCCTCATTAATATAAACGTCAGGCAGTAATGTTTTCTATTCAACTGCCTGATAATGGAAAACAAAACAAAGATTTATTCTCTTATGTCCCAAAAAGTGGAATACGAAACACTTTCTAACCAAAGTAACAGTACTTTTAAATTCCCATTACAGTGAATGTCAGAGTAATAGAACAATTATGTCATCTAACTTGAGGGAAAAGAAGAAAAAACAACCCAAATTCCCCTTCGTTGGGAAATTTGCATATTTTATAACGCATGAAAAATTTTATGAGAATTTATTAAATTCAATCACAATTCTAAGAAACTTAGATAAAATGTTATCAAATAGTTTGGCCATCTAATGTCCATCTTCTGCCTTGAATGTGTTTAAGCAGGGGATATTTCCCAGACATCTGGAATAGCTGAATATCCATGTGAGCTAGGTCACTTGTATTTTTTTGTTTACTCTTCTGAACCTGATCTGATTACTTTTAATTTAGTATCAGCATGACAATCACTTTTTAGCAACTTGAAATCCAGTTCAGCTTTTTGAGAACCAACAAACTATGCCAGAGCCATTTAACTTTGAACAAGAAAACAGTTTTCTTCTGGGAGCAGAGTTGATTTGGAAGATGAGAAATTACTCATTATAACTTCATTTAAACTATTGAGACAGAACCATGTGATGTCAAAAGAACTCAGAGAGTGTGAATCTGTTTTATTTATTGGGATATAACCCAGAACTTCAAATTGCTATAAGCAACTTCCTGGAATTATGAACTTTTATTGTGTTCATACAAGTGCACTTCATAAGAGTCAGGCACTTCATTGCTGTTTACAAGGCATTAGGGCATCCTGGTCTTCGGAAAGGGAAGGAATTTCTCTCAAGTAGAATGATGAATTACATTGAAAATCATGATCACAGGTTTCTATTAAATTTCAAGTGTAAAATAATTCCTTATGTGGAACAAATGAGTATCTAAAAGGTCTCGTGGGTTTCTCAGATCCCATATTATGTGTTACTGTCACATAGCTATATGTTTCTTTCAACAATACCCAAAAGGCAAATACAGAACTTCCTAGTTTAGAAATCCCTGGGTTCTGGGGCTATCATATTACCAACAGAAGGAAGTTGAACACTTAAGTACCTACTCTGTTGAATTTTGATGTAAAAACAAGAGCAAGAGTCAAATAA